GGAGGAGGAGGAGGAGGAGGAGGAGGAGGAGATTGGATTTATACCCCGCCCTTCACTTGGAGTCTCAGAGCGGCTTACAAACTCCTTTCCCTCCCTCTTCTCACATCAGGCACCCCCTGTGAGCCGTGTTCCCTCTAAGATGAGTTCGTGTGAGCTAGCCCACAGTTTTTTAGACTCCGGCTCACACATTTTTGTCTCAGCTCAGGAAGGAGGGCTCCAGAGCAGACTAATTTATGCAGTAGCCAAATCGCTCCCTCACAACTTGAATGCCAGTAGCTCACAAAGTAGAATTTTTGCTCACAAGACTCCACAGCTTACAGGGAACATTGCGAGGTAGGCGGGGCTCTTTCCAGAACTGCTCTTTCAAAAACAGGTCTGAAAGAACTATGGCTTGCCCAAGGTCATCCAGCAGCTGCAAGTGGAGGAGAGGGGAATCAAACCCAGTTCTCCCAGATGAGAGTCCGCGCACTTAACCACTTTTGCTTTAAGCAAAACCTTTTTTCTATCTTGTGGGGCAGACTGAGGCCCTAGACAACTAGAGGGGTGCTGGCATAACACTGGCACTTCTGTTCCTGCTCCCTGCCAAGCTGAGACGGAAAGGGCAGCTGAGAACTCAAAGGACAAGAAAAGGCAGCAGAGTTCCTTCCACAGCCACTTCTCAGCCCGGGGAAGGCCAGGCCCAGACTGGAGGGAAGCCCCCTGCTTAGACCACCCCCCCATCTCCAGACCGGGCCTCCCTCTGGCACCTCTTCTGATGCCCTCTCACGTGGCTCAGGCCCAGGACTGCCAGGCAAGGAGAGCACAGGACCCTTCCCCCATCAGAGGGAGGATGGCGGAGGGAGGCAGAGACCAGACACGGGGACCAAGACAGACAGCCTGACCACGTCCTTCTTCCTTCACAGCTTCCTTACACTCACTCCTCACTGCAAGAAAGAGAGAGGGCTCCTCCTCACCCAGAGAGGCCACGTTCCCAAAGTTCTCCAGCATGACCTCCTTGTAGAGCGCTCTCTGGGCCGGGCGCAGCAGGGCCCACTCCCCCCGGGTGAAGTCCACGGCCACCTCTGCGAAGGACACCCCGGCCTGCAAGGAGGAGGAGAAGGAAGCGTCTCTTTTCATCTCTGCAAAACTAGTCTGTGAGGGAAAGCCAAAAACGGAGAGACTTAACTAATAGGGGAGGAGCAGCACAAAAAGGTAGCAAGAAGACCCCCTGGGGACATCTCCCCCCCCACGCCC